AAGGTGAGTGAAGAGAGAAAGGTGAGAGAGAGGAGGATAACATCTCCTTTGATTCACTAATTCTTCTCTTTCTTCGTTCTGTATATTCCGTCTTCTTCGCTAATTACTCTTATTTATCTTCCTTGTGTTCTCCTCCTCTCCCTCCTCCTCCTATTCTTCCTCCTCCTCTTTCTCCTCCTTCTCTCATCTCTTGGTTCTTTTACCTCCCATTCACTCACCTTCTTATTCTCTTTCATCAGCATCTCTTTCCACTTCAATTATTCTTATCCTATTAGTCGGGTCTCCCCACATCAAAGACACACACACACACACACACACGAGAGAGAGAGAGCTGTGGGCATGTTAATACGGTCAGCACACACACACCCCATAGGGCAGAGACGTCTTCAGCTTGGCGCGGTACAAGAGCTCTTACCTTTGGGCGTCCGACTTAGCGATGCAACACCTCGGGCTGTCTGGCCTGAGTGGCTGAGAGGACGGGGGGGGGGACTTGAGGTGATGCTACTGTTGCTGTTGCTTGTGTTGCTATTCCTGTTGTTCCTTTTTACTGTTCATGTTGCTCCTTTTTCCGTTTCTGTTGCTCTTTTTGTCGTTCCTGTTGCTCCTTTTTGTCGTTCCTGTTGCTCCTTTTTGACATTCCTGTTCCTTCTTCCTGTTCCTGTTGCTCCTTTTTGTTTTTCCTGTTCATGATGTTCCTTATTTTTGTTCCCGTTGTTCCTTTTTGCTGTTTCTGTTGCTCCTATTTTCTCTTTTCTGTTCCTTTTGCTGTGCCTGAGAGGACAAATTTGTGATGCCATTGCTGCTGCTCCTGTGAAAATCCTTATGAAAAAAACTATCAGTCCATAACCCCCTTGTCTCCCCAGTAAACGTTACCCCCTACCATATGTAGTGAGCACCCCCTGCTTATATTAAGCCCCCTCCTTATGCTTGTACCCTGCCCCCTTAGTAAACGCCGCCGCCCCCCCCCCTTTGCGCCCCCCTTTGCGTTCCCTTTAGTAAACGGTATTTCTACGTAGGATTATCCCTTTAAATCTAAATGGGAATCTCTGTGTTGAAGGAAGTTGTAATAGGGTAGCAAAAGGGGGAGAAGACCTTAGGGGGTTATAATAGGAAAATAAAGAAGAAAGAGAAATAGGGATATACAGAGAGACTTTGTTATTCACCTGTTTTCACCTGTTTTCACTTATCACCTGTTGTTCACCTATTATGTACTACCGTGTATGTAAGTATTAAATAGGGATATAGTTTGTTTGTAAATGATTGTTTGTTTTTGTTTGTTTGTTTGTTTGTTTGTTTGTTTGTTGGTTGGTTGATTTGAAGTATATCTAATTAGTTCGTTTTTTCTCTTTGCAGGTAAGGAAGGATCGGCAGGTGACGGTGTACTAGTAGAGCCGAGCAGGTATGGTGAGGGAACTTCTGTTGTGTGGTCTTGCTGTTGTTAACGGGTTCGACCTGTTGATTGGTTCGACCTGTTGATTGGCTCGACCTGTTGACTGGCTGGCTCGACATGTTGACTGGTTCGACATGTTGACTGGCTCGACCTGTTGACTGGCTCGACATGTTGACTGGCTCTACCTGTTGACTGGCTGGCTCGACATGTTGACTGGCTCGACCTCTCGACCTCTCGACCGACTTACAGATTATAAATACTAATCCCAAGCTCTTGTTAAACAGTACCTTAGCTTCATATAACTCACTACCTCGAGACAAAGTCGGGAATACCTTTCATTAACAACAACCAAAACGAAAGGTATAGAGCCACCCATCTCCACTACCCACACGTTCAATGTTTACTGAGATCTGTTGACGATTCAGACGGCCAGAAAATAATCGAGTCTCTCTTCATTCAAAAATACCATCCATGGAAGTGACATCTTGACCCCCCCCTCCCCTCACCCCCACACAAAAAAAAAATAAAAATCGAAAATCAATCATGGCTTTTTGAGTTTTGTTGAAGAATATAATAAAAAATTTCAATCTCGTTTTCTGTCTTTGGGGAGGAGGGCAGAGTTGATTTTGACGAGGTCTGGTATAAATCCTGACTCGATCAGTTCACGCTGGATGAACAATACTTAGGGAGCGTGTTTACTGAGGTTAACACACACACACACACACACACACACACACACACACACACAGCCCATCCATTTGCCTAGTCTGTGAGGTGAGTCTGTGTGACACAACAGTTCAGGGCAAGGGACCAGGGCAGGAAAGAGGGTTTAAGCATTCATTCAATCCGTGTATCCGTCTGTCAACCCTTTATACTCGTCTGTCTCTTTGTCTATCTATTTGTCTGTCATTCTGTCTGTCTGTTTGAATCCGATTTACGGTTTAACAATATTAAAAAAATAAACTTACATGACGTACTTCGGTAAACAACTAAAATATTCAACATGTGAAGTTTCCGCTCACTCCAGCAGATAATTTCTCCACCTCCGTAAAACGCGATTTTCTTTTGTTTTATCCGTCGAATTAAATAATATTTTTCTACCAAATACGCATTGATTACAAGTTCCCAGTTAGAGAAAATATCTCGTCGTGTGTTTAAGTCAATGTTTTGGTTTTGGAGAATTTTAAGCAATGATTGGTGAAGGTTAGATTAACATGACAAAAAAAAAAAAAAAAACTAAGGAAAAAAAAAAGATAAACTTGCCATTCATGTTTTCGCCTCACTGACAACACCTACTTGACCTCACCCTTAAGATAACACGTAAAGCAAAAGATATTCATTTCTTTTAAAAGTTTTTCCTCCCATTCTGAAATTCCTAAAAGAGAATTCCAGGTTCATTCCCACTGGAGCAGAGACTCATTCCAGGGAAGTTGAGATAAAAGACGATTCCCGGATTACCAGTGCCATTCCTGCTAGTTATAGGTGACTCTGAGAAGTTTACGAGCCCGCCACTGCCACCACCTGCCTGCCAGCCACCCACTGCAACTTTCACCTGCCTTATTGCCTTCACCGGCCCTCCTCTTCCTTCTCCTCCTCCTCTTCCTTCTCCTCCACCTCTTCCTTCTCCTCCTCCTCTTCCTCCTTGTTCTCTCCAACCTTCACTTCACCCTCTACCACCTCCTCCACCCACCCTCTTCTTCCTCCAACTTAACCTCCTCCAACATCCTCCTCCAACTTAGCCTCCTCCTTCAACCTCCTCTTCCTTACTTCCTCCTCCTCCTCCAACCTAACCTATCCTTACTTCCTCCTCCTCCAACCTAACCTATCCTTACTTCCTCCTCCTCCAACCTAACCTAACCTTACTTCCTCCTCCTCCAACCTAACCTAACCTTACTTCCTCCTCCTCCAACCTAACCTAACCTTACTTCCTCCTCCTCCAACCAAACCTAACCTTACTTCCTCCTCCTCCAACCTAACCTAACCTTACTTCCTCCTCCTCCAACCTAACCTAACCTTACTTCCTCCTCCTCCAACCTAACCTAACCTTACTTCCTCCTCCTCCAGCCTCTTTCTCCTCAACAGAACTTGAGGAAAATGAACAGTTGATTCAATTAAGCTGGGAATTACTGAGTGTCCCTCGGGTGCTACTCCAAAAACTAATTCACGCAAGATGTCTCCGCAAGATGTCTACGCAAGAGATCTCCGCGCATCGTACCTTTATGCTCGTGTCTCCAAGCCCAGCAGGACGAGACTGTGCTCCTTAAGTCTCTCGTAGGTCTCTTCCCCCTTTGATATCCGAAGAGGCTTATGCCCTGAAGAGCCACAGAAAACGAGAGACCTAATTGAGACAGCAGGAACCTACGTCAGTTGAGGCATGGAGGTTTCCGGTTAAAGGTTTCCAGTTAAAGGGTAGAGGCTTCCACTAAGGGGGTAGAGGCTTCCACTTAAGGCTATAGGCTTCCACTAAAGGGGTAGAGGCTTCCACTTAAGGCTATAGGCTTCCACTTAAGGGGTAAAGGCTTCCACTAAAGGGGTAAAGGCTTCCATTTCAAGTTAATACTATTGACTAGAGTTAATTTTTAATGACTGAAACTACATAAATTTTAACCTATACTCTGACTGAAATATTAACTTATGTATTATATTTCAATTACAGAATAGCACATGGAGTGAAAAACATCTTGTGACACATTAACGTACAGACACACTAGCCTTTACTGATGGGGTGGGGAGGGAGGGGGTAGGGTGGGGGGAGGCTACCACCATTATTGACTGGTAGACCCTAACTGACAGCCGCTGTTGCTCGCTCACTTCTCGCCACGACACACAGTCAGTCGGGCGTATGACGGGAAGAAAAATTTAGGTATATACTATTTTTTTTCCCTTTCCGTCTTAATATGTTACATGATCAACTGCTGGGATTTACGCTTGAGCAGGTAGGGGTGGGGGTGGGGGGTGTTGGTGGGGGTAGTGTGGGGATGGTAGTGGTGGTTGTGGGGGTGGTGGAGGTTGTGGGGGTGGCAGTGGTGGTGGGGGGTGGTGATGGTATTGCTCGTATAAGGTATAGTAGGTGATGGTAATGCTGGTGTGCGGTACAGTAGGTGACGTAGGGTGACTAAGGCTACAGGAAGGTACGGTAATCCCACTGGATGATCCCTCCTAACTAACTCCTGCGTCAGGTAGTTTTCCCACGCCTCTTATTGATTTTACTCCCCCAGCAGGAGTGTATTAGAGCCGGTCTTAACCTGGCTAAGTTAGGTCTTATTAAGGAAGGTAATTATAAAGACTGGCTTACCTGGCCCACCATTAACACCTGTCTGAGTACTCACCTTAACCTCTCTCTCTCTCTCTCTCTCTCTCTCTCTCTCTCTCTCTCTCTCTCTCTCTCTCTCTCTCTCTCTCTCATGTGCGTATGCGTATTTATGCGCATTTATGTGTGTATATATCCATGTATGCATTCATGTACATATATCAACATACGTGTGCGTGCATGTGTATAGAGCAATATTTGTATACACTCATCCCTCGCCTCCTAACCGCTGCTGCAGTATTCGAGGACAAACTCGTGTAAATAGTGGCGGCCGTTGTGTGTGTCGCAGCCGCTCACGATATGAATGAACGCAAGAAGCTGGAGGTAGGTTATGGACAGAGGGATATTAAATATTGGATTATTGAATTCCAGCCGCATCCCCGGCCCGCGGCGCCCACACTAAACTATTACACGCTGCTGGGGGAGGAGGTGAGACTCGCCCTGGGGAAGGAGGCGGGGGAGATAAGGTTGATGCAGAAGGGAGGAGGAGATAAGACTGATGCAAGAGGGAGGAGAAGAAGGAGAAAAAGGAAGGAATAGAGTTGATGCAGGGGAGGAGGAGGAGGAGGAGGAGGAGGAGATAAGACTGTTGCAAGAGGGATGAGAAGAAGGAGAAAGAGGAAGGAATAGAGCGATGCAGGGGAGGAGGAGGAGGAGATAAGACTGGTGCAAGAGGGAGGAGAAGAAGGAGAAAGAGGAAGGAATAGAGTTGATGCAGGGGAGGAGGTGGAGGAGGAGGTGAGGCTGGTACTTGGGGAAGACTGGAGATTTATGCAGCAGGAGGAGGAGACTAAGGTTGATGCAGTGGGAGGGGGGGGGTGAAACTGGTCTGTAATCTATTTATCTCTTATTTTTCTCGTCTTTGTCTATGTGTTTATCTCTCTCTATCTCCCCAGTTCTCTCTATCTCTCCTAGGTGTGTGTGTGTGTGTGTGTGTGTGTGTGTGTATCCATCTCTCCCCGAGCTCTGTCTATCTATCTCTCCCCAGGTATCTCTCTATCTCTCTCCTAGGTATCTCTCTCGCTCTCCTCCAGGTATCTCTCTATCTCTCTCCTAGGTATCTCTCTCTGTCTCCTTTTAGGGTGCTTTCTTTATCTCACCCTATTGTCTCTGCTCACCTCCTAGTTGTCTCTTCCTCTGACTGTTGATACTGTGTTGCTGCTATTAGGATTGCTGAGTGTATGACTGTTGAGACTGTCTTGACTGTTAAAAATGCCTGACTGTCTGACTGTTGAGACTGGCTGACTGTACAACTCTTGAGACTACCTTACTTAATAGTGCCCAACCCTACCTTACCTTACCTTACCTTACCTTACCTTACCTTGCCCTGCCTAAACCTAAACCTTACCTCACCTTGCCTTACTCCTTGCCTTGCCTAACCTAACCAATCCAACCTTTTAAAACTTTCTATTAACCACTACTAAAAAATTAAAACATTCTGAACCAATATAAAATAAACCACCTTCGAACACTACTAAATCAGAGGCAAAATAAAAACCAATATAGGAAAAAATAATAAAACAAAACTTTAATAAAAAAAAAACGTAAAACTATAGTGGCCAAAAAAACCTAAACCTGTTATGGAAAAAAATAAACCTTCCCGAACTCTTATTTTCGGAAAATATTTTAACCCCAGGAAAGTAAAATTAGTGAGAGGTCGTACGTTTCTGTCGCCTTCAGAGTGTGTCTGTGAATATATATTTTTTTTCTGTGGGCAGGAAATTTACACTTGCATTTCTGTAACGGGAAACAAATGACGTGTGTGTGTGTGTGTATGTGTGTGTGTGTGTGTGTGTGTGTCTCAACAATAATCGTCTCGTATTTTACTTTTTTTTTATTATTATTATTATTATTATTTTAGTTTTCGTTGTTTAGTAACCCCCGAAGCGCGTGACCCGAGAATTTGAGCTGCAAGGGGGGAAGTGATTGGTTGCCCCGTTTGTTTGTTTGTTTTGATTGTTTGCTTGTTTTTCCGGGCGATATCTCAGACCATTTTTTGGGTTGTTGTTCTTTTTCAGTGTTTGACATATATTGATCATTGCATGTCAAGGGTGGGGGGTGAGGAGGGGACAAGGGACCCGGGGGTGTGGGCGGCCGGGGGGTGGAGGGGGGATGTGGGCGGCCGGGGGGTGGAGGGGGGATGTGGGTAGGGGGGCGGTGTATATTGACCGTATCACTATTTCTTTTATCCATTTCTTTAAAGTGAGGTTTCCTATTTTTTTCATATACCCATTTTTTTACGTACCCTATATCATTTGTACGTGCCCTATTTCCTTTCCACGTGCCCTATTTCCTTTCCACGTACCCTATTTCCTTTCCACATGCCCTATTTCCTTTCCACGTGCCCTATTTCCTTTTCGCGTGCCCTATTTCCTTTTCACGTGCCCTATTTCCTTCTTACGTGCCCTATTTCCTTCTTACGTGCCCTATTATCAACCCCATTATAACATTTGCGATGGTAAAAAAGTCGACAAATTGCAATCTGACCAAATGAAAAAGTACATTTGTCGGCGGGACGAAATAAAGTAAACCAAACGAGAGAAATATGGAACCTGACTTGTTTACGAACTGTTAAATATGACAAAAGCGACAGAAAATGTTAACCATTGAATAAAACGTGCGGATGGTGTGTTAAAGTGGACTCAATCCACTCTGGTTTAACATGGGGAGCAAAAAATATGATTCATTGAATAATCCCTTGAGTAGGTGAGGTCACAAATATGGTACAATGGACAACCGTGGGTAGTGGAAAAGAAATAACATAAAATGTTTTGGACAAACTGTGGGGTAGTAGTGTGGGGGAGCAACATGGTACAATGGACAATCAGGTAGTGGTGTAGGAACAACATGGTACAATGGACAACTGTGGGTAGTAGTGGGGGAGCAAATACAGGCAATGGACAACTGTGGTAGTAGTGGTGGAACAACATGGTGCCATCGGACAACTGTGGGGTAGTAGTGGTGGAACAACATATACAATGGCAACTGTGGGGTAGTAGTGTGGAAACAACATGGTACAATGGACAACTGTGGGGTAGTAGGTAACATGGTACAATGGACAACAGGGTAGTAGGTGGGAAACATGGTACAATGGACAATCAGGTGTAGTGGTGGAACAACATGGCACAATGGACAAATCAGGGGTAGTAGTGGTGGAACAACATGGTACAATGGACAACTGTGGGTAGTGGTGGAAAACAACATGGTGCTAAATACAACTGTGGGTAGTAGTGGAGAGAACAGCAACATGGTACAATGGACAATCAGGGGTAGTAGTGGTGAACAACAACATGGTACAATGGACACCAGGGTAGTAGTGGTGAACAACATGGTACAATGGACAAATCAGGTAGTAGTGAGAGAACAGCAACATGGTACAATGGACAACTGTGGGTAGTAGTGGGGGAACAACATGGTACAATGGACAACTGTGGGTAGTAGTGGTGGAACAACATGGTACAATGGACAACTGTGGGTAGTAGTGGTGGAACAACATGGTACAATGGACAACTGTGGGTAGTAGTGGTGGAACAACATGGTACAATGGACAACTGTGGGTAGTAGTGGTGGGAACAAAGTACTACAAATATGTGGATGTTTGGTGGGTAAGCATAGACCTTACGAGCAGCCATCTCATATATTTTTTCATTGTTATTACTCGTTCCTCTTCTCCTCTTCTCCTTGCTTCCTGGTCCTCTCCTCCTACCTCAAATTTTCTCTCCTCTTCCCTTCTTCTTTCTCTCCTACTCTTTCCTTCTTCTATTCTCCCCCTCTCCCTTCTTCTTTCCTCCTCCTTTCCTACTCCTCTCCTTTCTCCCTCCCCGTTTCTTCTATGTTTTTTTTCTCTTTCTTCCTCATCTCCTCTTCCCATATTTTTACTACTCTTTCTCTCTTCCTCCTCATTTCACATTATTATTCCTGTCTCTTCATCCCCTTATCCTTTCCCCTTTTTCTTTCCCCCCTCCCTCCATATCCCCTCACCCCTTTTCTTCTTCCCCTATCACTCACCCTTTCTTACTCTCCCCTCACCCACTCACCTCCTTCTCTCCCTCACCTCCTTCTCTCCCTCACCTCCTTCTATCCCTCCGCATCCTATCCCTCCATCTTCCTCCATCCCCTTCTATCCCCTCCTCCACCCCCTCTCTCCATTCCCTCCCTCATCCCTTCCTCACCCTCTTCTATTCCTGTTCTATCACCTCCCTCACTCTCTTCAATCTTTCTCCCATCCACTCCTTCCTCCCTCCCTCACCCCTTCTATCCCCTCCCAACATCTTCTACCCCTTTCATCTCCATCCTCGCTCCTTTATCTCTCTTCATTTATCTCCCCACCCCACCTCCATTTGGGCCCTGCAGGTGGGAGTCAAAAAATAATACTTTCCATTAAAACCGAACCCTTGTCTTTTTTTTTCTTGTCCAGCCTGTAAGTTGGTCGACGAGGAAACTTGATTGAGGGAGGGTAGGGAGGGAGGGAGGAGTGAGGAGGGAGGAGGAGGAGGGAGTGGTGGGTGGTGTTGTGGTTGCTTGGCCCTCCGTGATATTTTTTATGTTGTGAAACGATGATTGTTTATAGGGGAAAAGGAGAGAGAAATTGGGAGAGAGAGAGAGAGAGAGAGAGAGAGAGAGAGAGAGAGAGAGAGGTAAATAAACACAGAAAAAAGTGAAAGTAACAGAAAGAAAGAAGGATAAGAAAGAAGAGGAAGAAATGAGAGAGCGAGAGAGAAAATGAGATAAAGAGAGAGAGAAAGAGAGAGCGCAAATCAGTCTTCAAATACACAAGTCTCAAAGTAGCAAGAGTCTCGTTTCAGTTTCCTCAATCGCCAATACTAGCGGGACTTCTGCTACACCTCCACGCATACGGTTCATGTATTAAGGCTGGAGAAGACTCATTGTTACCTTACCCAACCCAACCCAACCCAAACCCAACCCAACCCAACCCAACCCAACCCAACCTAACCTAACCCAACCTAACCTAACCCACCTAACCTAACCTAACCTAACCTAACCTAACCTAACCTAACCTTACCTAACCTTTAACCTGTAAACTGAGGTGAAGTCGTACACAAACACGCTATCATATACTACCAGTTCGCTATATAAACCCGTATGCCAATTAGTTCGCTATATAAACCCGTAGTTCGCCGTATGCCACTAGATCGCTACATAAACCTGTATGCCACTAGTTCGCTATATAAACCCGTATGCCACTAGTTCGCTATATAACCCGTATGGTACTAGTTCGCCACATAAACCCGTATGCCACTACTTCGCTATATAAACCCGCATGCCACTAGATCGCTACATAAACCTGTATGCCACTAGTTCGCTATATAAACCCGTATGCCACTAGTTCGCTATATAACCCGTATGCCACAGATCGCTACATAAACCTGTATGCCACTAGTTCGCTATATAAACCCGTATGCCACTAG